CCCCCCATATACATCATCAAATCATAAAAACCCTCATGAAATCATACATGAAGACATAAAAACACATAAAATTACCAGGCGCCTCGTGCGCCCGCTGGCAACTACCATCCCACCATATCCCACGCTGCATCTTGGCGCTCCTCCCCTGTGCCGCCCACGCTTTGGCCAGGGAGGCATAGGCGCGGACCTGACCCATATTTTTTTGGTCGATGGGTTCGCAGCATGGACTCACCCGGGAAAATCTTGGATCGGAAACACCTTGGACAATTGACTTCTTTTCACTTTGATCTTCATGTTCTACAGGGCTGTTTTTGTCAGCATTGAATTAATTGAATGATCTGGAAAAGGATTATTTTTCAGGAACATGTCGGAATATGCTGCTTGGTGCATTTCTCAACTGCAGGATGATTCAAAAAGGAAGACAGTCATCGCCGCCCAAAGTTTATTGCCTTCATAGAAAGGCCATCTTCTTCAAATTTCTGCAAGAGGGCTGCCTCAAGGTCAATGGCGTGTCTCCTGCTTCGTTACTTTCATATCTTTCATACAAGTGAAGCAGTGCAGACTCAAGCTCATTCTTGTCGTGGAATCTTGACAATGTTTTGACATACTTGAAACATAGTTCCCTCATCTGCTTCATCTGCTCCATCTGCTCCCCAACATACCTTCTGGGAAACTAACATAACTATGGAACATCACCATTTGTCATGGGAAAACTCACTATTTCTATGGCCATTTTCAATAGCAAACTGTTAGTCATTACCAGAGGGTAGATCTTCCGAACAGACATGCGCCATGAGTCCACCATGAAGATGCCCGAGCCCCCCAGGCCGTTTCAGCAGCTTCGCCGACTGGCCGGAGGCGGGCTTGGTTCAAGGCCCTTAAACTTTTCAGCCATTTCCTGATCGAAACATCTCCCAACATCTTCCCATCCCCTGTTGACTTGTCTAAAGAAATGTTCACCCATGTCCACCCCAAATCTGATGGTGTATCATGGTCATCTTCATTTTCCCCACATTTAGAATTGCCGATTTCCCTGGAACTCTCTCCCACCTTTGAGACCAACTCATCCCCCCATTTGAGCTCCCCCACTTGCCGCCAAACTGGCGCAAGCAGCGCTGGCACAGGCACTGGTCATGCTTCCCATGTGGCGAGCATGCCTTAGGGGGTCTGTTGGATGGCAGAACGGCTGTGATAACCTTGAAGAAGGATATCAATGGATATCAGGATATCTAATAATTTCAGAAATGATAGGATCATCTCAATGTCCCAATATTCAAGATCTCCCACAAGGCATGGTTCTTTTTTTCATTCAGAAACCGACAATGTTGGACACCTGGACATTCTGGGAAACATCATCGATACCGTCCTCATATATGATAGTATTTCACGATATAATACAGTCAAAATGTAGTACACATTTCTATTTTTTTGGGGTTACTTTAATATATTAATCACTACTGTAAAGATTATTATCTATATATATACATATATCTATCTCTATATCTATATCTGTGATATTCTTAAAACCATCATCACAGGTTCAGGTCTCTGACCAGTCGAGACACCGGAACCACTTGATGGCCAAGTGATGTTCACCTGCGCAAACACGAGGGACCTGTATTGAAAAGGGAAAGCACATGTAAAGCACATGTAAAGCACATGTAAAGCACATGCCTCCCCTTATGAGGTGTAATTTTTGTATATCTAATTTTTAAATATTTTTAAAATGAGATTGATAGAGGATTGGGTTGGCAGTGTTGCAAATGAGAGCCGCTGAAATCCAGATAAAGCCACCATGCCACGCCCAAAAGCTGCCACCATATTTCTCTCAGGTTCTCAACGCAAAACACGCCGAGAGGAATTGCAATCTGCCTAGGTGATAATTATTGGCAACATTGCCTGGACCGAGCAAAACCTGACCTGCACCGACAGGTGTGGCTTTAATGACATGTGGACACACGCAAGAGCGCTATTGAACATCCAGCCACTCAAAGACCCGCGGTGCATATCAACGTGTGTCAATATATCCTGGAATTCACGCCATTCTTGTCCAGCAGTGAAACCAATTTTGTGTACAATTTGGGCAAGAAAAGGCCTTGGACTGTGAGAAATCCCTATGAACGTAGTTGCTGTGACCAAGAATGCATTGGGTAAAGTTGCTTGAGTTTATCTACCTTTGAAGGCCAAGTTATGCCAAGTTGTTCCCGGAAGTTTCATGAAGTTTCTACATCCCTCATGGATCATGTCCAGAACCGGCACCCCAACTCTCAAGAAGGCGAGCATGTCATGAAACCACTGATCCCAGCAAAATGATGAGGGCAGGCTTACCACTAAAACTGGCTTCACTCCTTGCTCCTCTAACGTTGTGGCATTTTGTGGCGTTTATTGTGGAGGCCTGCTGGCACTCTATGCATGACATGGAATTGGTGCCCTTGATTCAGTTGTACCAAGCAGCGAAACGGAGACTAGTGACTAGGATAATTTGCCGAAACTCAACTGTGGCCTAGCATTAACTCCGTTTATCCACGGGTTTAGATCACACAGGGGTTTGAACCCTTAAAACATGATTAATCTCGAAATGAAAGCATCAAACCCATTCCCTCCGAAACTGAAATCGTTTTGATACAACGTGTACATAATATATATATATATACATATACACATATCTTTGTACAGATAATCATCAAAGGATGAATTCTATGTGTGTGGCATCCAGGGATCGGAGTACACATACATGTATACTTATATATGTGATTCTAATTAATTCTATGTAGTCACATGGCAACATTCAAGACGTGTCTCTATGCAAAAGAGATACACACAGATAACACACACACACATGAATCGACACACACAAACACACAACCAATCCACACAACCAATCACAAACATATGTCTATACGACGTAATATGTTGACTTTCTTTGGTTTTGCTAGTTCTTGTCCCTTTGCAATATCCTGCAGCTATCACTCCAACATCTCCACTGGCAACGCCACAAAACCATCGCCACCTTCGGCTTAGCCGGCGGGCGACAGGTTCACTTACTTCCATGGAGCCACAGCGGTCGCCGATGGAAAGTACGTATTGTACGTATTGAATCCTATAGAAATCATCATCACTTCACGTACTATTATGAAGTGATAATTAACATGAACTCACTTCATATGAATCTGAGCTTTTTCATCTTGAAAGACTTGGAACATCTTGGCAAAATGTGTCTGATCATGTAGGATCATAAACCATCATAAATTTCTATGACGCATCTTTGCTCCTCTTTGCTTTGTCACCTGACCATGAGAGCAATGGGGAAACTGCGCTTGGTCAGCTGTGGCTCCTCGGTTTTGTGCCAGGTTCCTTCAACCATGGCTGCTGCGCAAGCCAACGATACTACAACTCTAGTCTACTGTACAAGAGATCACGGGTCGAATCAGAGCTCTCAGCGATTCGACAACCGCATGTCTCTACGGCACACAGTGCAAGGCTCCGATACAAAGAACTCCAAGAACAAACCAAACATGTCCTGAGTAATGGGTCAACTCACGATATTCATTCGAGACTAGGGTTTCTTCAAACTCAAATCTGAAACACTTCGGCATCATTTGAATCTGAAAGGAGAGGAAACACCTCTCGTCCTATCAGACCTTCCAACCCTAAAACGCTGAAACCCATTAGACTCGGCTTTTTCCGCTGTCCAGGGCCAGCTTCACAGCTGCCAGGTCTATCTTGTCAGCGTTTTCATGTGCACTTCTTATTCGGCAATATTGTCCAAAGTGAACCGTTGCACATTTTTGTGGCTCATCATGGTATCAGCAACCTTTGAACTTGAAGGACCTATGGATAAGGAGAATCTTTAAGACTTGGCAGCCTTTAGCGCTCACAAAAAAGGTGTTGAGGCCTGCATGGACTGCTGCACTTTGGAAGTGCTTTCTGAGCTGGTTCTAGATCGATGGATCATTCTTTGGCGCCCCAAATTCGATAATTTCCAAAATCGACAACATCTAGCATATCTAGCGGATGCAAACCTGCGGCAAACCTCTTACAGCATCTACTCCGTGGGAAGATGTGGCACACAAGTTCAAGTTGCTGGACATTGCCTATCCACAATCAACTCCGAGTCGCTCACAGCTGGATGTTGGTTTCAATTGTCCCCAACATTTTGGACAACTTCTATCCATCTTTAGAAGGGAGATGCTAAAATATGAAAAATCATTTGGAACCAGTCAAAAACAAGCAAACGCAACAAAAGCCTAAAGCTGATGCCTGAGCCTACCCAACGACCTTTCCCAAGGGAGGTCGTACATTTCGGTAGAAACTCTCCTTGGCGACCAACATGGACTCACAAAACGACATGTACTGCACTACAGCTCAACGTCAAGTCCTCCAGACTCCTCCAAACATTTCACATCAAACAGCCCCGGCTCGCTGTTTGAGACCCTGCGTCCAAGCAACAAAACCTGCAGCACCAGGCGCCTCAAAGAACTTCCGGTAGAACAGGGCAAACTCTTCCTGGGCAGCCGACAGGTACCAGCTACTGGTGCCAAAGTCAATGTCAAGTTCACAGACACGCTCTCTGCTACATGGGAGTCAAGTATGCGCATTGAAGGATAATATATGGTTGTTATTAGTATAGTTATAGAATCTTACACTCACCATATAGACACTACCAGAGTCACTACCATATATTGGGTAGTTGTGTGATATCCATCTTATTAGTACGTATGTCGACAGCATTGGATACTCACTCCGACCCCTTTTCAAACACAGAGACGAAGTCGATGGACCCGCTGCAGTCATTGTCCTTGGCACCGCCGGACGATTTGGATTGATGTGGAGATACAACTGGGGTTATATCCACAGATTCCATAGATTTCATGGCCAAAAAACATGCTTAAACTATGGGTACCAACAATTGAATCTAAAAGAGGTCAGAATTCGGCACAAGCTTCCAACAAGGCTCTGGCTCTGATATCTTCAACTTCTCTTGAGATTCGCTGTGTATCAACCACCGGATACTAAGAGCCCTTGGCTTTGCAGAAGATCTTAGATGCTCTTAGTATATCGTAGCACACCACCTGGGATCAGCCCAAATAGGGAAACATCATGAAACATACCCTCTGGTAATTTAACATAGCTATGGAACATCACCACTTTTAATGGGGAAACTCACTATAAATGGCAATTTTCAATAGCTGTGTTAAATTGCCAGAGGGTAAAGTTGACATGGTTTGAACATGACATATCTTTTGCACCTTTTTGACACCACCACGCAGTTCACTGTTTTGATCCGTCAACGGAAACACCATGCCAACACATTTCCAACATATGGAGGTTTCCTGAAATAGGGGTACCCCCAGTCATCATCCATTTTAGTAGCTTTTTCCCATTATAAACCATCCAGCTATGGGGTATCATCCATTTATGGAAACCCTCATATCCATTCATATCCCATCACCGGCCGATCCAAGTAACTGCTTGGGTCCAGAGCTGCTTCATCCGCGCAGGAGGAATTTCCAAATGCCGCGGCACTCGAGCACATCTCCTCGAGGGGAAGAAAGAAATGCAGCCAAAAATGCACCATGAAACTTACGCATTTGTCTATGCAATGGCTTAAGTGACCTTAAGTCCTTAAGTGTAAACTTTGGAAATAACACGAATGACATGAAACAAGACGAATTTATCATGTTAATCATTTATCTAGGATGATCTATTGTAACCAAACTGTGACCAAACTTCTGCGACCTGTCACAAGGGCACTACCTGATGGGCACCTGTAGGCCAGTTGATCTCCAAAAGTGTAGATATCTCCCTGAAATTCACCCAAACAAACTCATATGGAGGTTTCCTGAAATGGTGGTACCCCCTAGTCATCCATTTATAGATGGATTTTCCACCATAAAATACTATGAACCATCTATTTTGGGGTACCTCCATTTATGGAAACCACCATATGGGATAGGTTTGCAGTTCACCAAGTCTTGGATGTCTCCTGATGACACCTTCGAACTCTTCATAATCGATTTCACCGCTTCCATCGCAATCGTATTCAGCCTCAGTCCACGAGATTCCACCAGGCACTTCATTGTGCAAAGAACCTAGGCAAATATCAAGCATGTAATGCATTTGGATCTTGATCATCTGACATCATCTGACATCATCTGACATCATCTGACATCATCTGACCATCAACTTGGGATTTTTTGAAAATAGTCTTGGGATATCAGTTGATGATGATCCGACTATCTGGCATATTCTGGTATACAAGTGTACACGTCTAAGCCCTGGATGTTTTCTCCGCTTCCGACATCTATTCCGACACGGAATTTGGGAACAGATCAGGAAGATGGGCCAGAAAATGAGCCAAGTCACAAAATATTTTTGATATCTGTCCATATCCACCAAACCTGCAACCAGCTCAGAGACTCACAATGATCACAATGATCTATGAAGCAATGACCAAGGAGATTAGGTAGTATCTTTCTACAGCATCACAAGACCCATGGAGGGCTTTCAACAAATGACCGATCATGTATATACGCGTACAAATATAATACACAAATTATATGTATATAATTGTATGTATATATATATATATCTAT